GTATGGAGTACTTGGAGAGCAAGAATTGCATTCACAGGTAGTGTTTTCGGATCAACATATTTTTTATATCCAATTATTCTTATCTTTTTCTTATTAATTACATTAATAATGTGTTCAAGTTTTTAGTGAAATCCTTAAAAATGATAAGAGCTTTCGTTTCTGTGGCAATAATTAATAACAATTTGAGAAAATGGTTTCACTCAATAAATTTAGTTTTATTAACTAAGAATTTATTTAAATTTTAACGTAAAAACGCGAACTCATGTTCCCATAGAAAACAAGTGCTGACCTGAACTTCAAATTATGTTAAATTAACTTAAATACCTATTATTTTTTTAATGAATTAATTGCACATAAAATGGGAGCCTACGGGCAATACTTTGTGAAAGCATTTAATTCATTAGAAAATTCAAAAAATTTCCACACATAGCCTAAAGTTAACCCAATGAACCATTAAGTGAAATATTCTCATTGAGAATAACATTGAAAAAACATAGTTTTTCTTTTATCTAAAAATACAAAACAAACAATTAATAACAATAATTATATGTGTTGTAAATTTGTCAGAGATTTGGCCGCTCGTAATTGTCTGATCGGTGCGGACAATGGCGTTAAGATATCCGACTTCGGTATGTCGAGAGAGGCTAATGTAGAGCAGGAGTACACCGTATCCAACGGTATGAAACAAATACCCATCAAATGGACGGCTCCCGAAGCACTCAATTATGGTCAGCAATCATAAGATTTTATATATAGATTTTCATACAGATTATTGATACCTACAGTGATATTACATTGTTGTACAAAATGTGTGTTTTTAGGTCGCTATACATCCCTATGCGATATATGGAGTTATGCTATATTAATGTGAGAAACAAAGAAAAAAACTTACATCTTGTGTAAAATTGTTAATTTATTATGCATTTTATGTTGTATAATAAGGTGGGAAATATTTACCCTGGGAAGTACCCCCTATAGCGGAATGTCTAACGCAAAAGCCCGTGAATTGATTGATAACGGGTATCGACTTCCCTGTCCTCCCAAAGCACCGCAAGAAATCTACGCTCTGATGACCACATGTTGGGACTATGAGCCCGAAAATAGGCCTCATTTCACTGCAATTAGGCATCAATTGGAGGAAATATATGTCGATATGAAGAACAGGGATCTCAAGGAAAAGAGCGACAAAGAAAGCGTCGAAATTCATTTGTGATACGAAATGTTGTTTTGAAATTAAAATGTAATTTTCAGTCAATGTAGAGAAAAAACCACTTTTTCTAAAAGAATAAATATATTTATTCATACATTCATTTGTAGTTAGATTTTAGGTTAATTTCATTCTACAAAATGGTTTATTTATTTTTCAAATCATTACTTATTTTTTTTGTTCATTTTGCTAATCAAAGCCACAATCAATGGTTATTTAGAAATGTGAATATAACTTAAATTATAATACATATTGAAAGCGATTTGCAATAATTATAGTGAGACTAGTTTTTTAGACTAAAATAACTCTTTTCCCGTACGATATATAAAACTGTTACAAAAAAACGGTAACAATAGGGATATAATTTACTTTTGACATAAATGCGATTATTCAATTACATTTTATTATGATTAGTTTGTAATAAGTTTATATTGAAATAAATTTTATGACATCAATAAGTGTAAGGAGGGGAGAGAGAGAGAGAGAGAGAGAGCATATTGGTTTGATATGATATAACCGTATATTTTATCGTTAATTTGTGTGAGAAAAAAGAAACGTCTATTAATATTATAATATTACAGGAAATTAATATTAGAAAAATCCTTTTCGGTTAATCCTTTGTTAATAGCAATAAAAGGGAAACTTTTTTTTCTTTGAACACTCTTTTCTCCTCTGTTTGATTGACTCAAACCCATAGTAAGTGTTTTTTATTATTCGTTATTAAATAAGATATACTTTTAAACCAGAATTTTGTTAAATTTATAACAATAGATACGTTAAACTAAATATCAAGTGTTTGTATTAATACTTATATGTGTTTCATATGTGGGGAGAGAAGAAATATTTCTGGACTAATACAGTATAATATAATGTGGATATTTCTCGAGAAATGCATACAAAGAAAAGCACAAAATGTAAACCCGTTTAGTGATAAAGTGAAAGTTTTCCTTCATCTCTCTCTCTCTCTCTCTCTCCCCTCCTTACACTTATTGATGTCATAAAATTTATTTCAATATAAATTTATTACAAAATAATCATAATAAAATGTAATTG